ATTAGAATTATTCTGAGACAATTTGACATTCTTGTTAGTCTGAATTGAAATTAAGGAAAAACAAAATAGTATTTCCATAGATTTTTTTTCAACTATATATATCATATTAAATGGGGAACTACCTTTTGACATGAGCTATTTTCCTCTATTATGCCCTAACATTAGTGTTTGGCAGGCCTTTGTAGCATATAAATTCACACATGTCTATTAGAATTATTCTGAGACAATTTGACATTCTTGTTAGTCTGAATTGAAATTAAGGAAAAACAAAATAGTATTTCCATAGATTTTTTTTCAACTAACTTTAAGATATTTTAAAAATCTTACCAAGTTCGCTTGGATGTTTTATTTCAATAACTATAGTTGGTATGCATTACATCATCAGTTCTTTCAAATCAAAGAAAATATGCTTAGAAGGACTTTCTTCTTACCGACAAACAACATTTCAGACATCTGAAATACTTTGTTGGTCTTAATCAGAATAATTGAGACCATACATCTCCTTTTCAAGGGGATCCTGAGCCTGAAGACAACCTAAACATCCAGACTGGGAGGAAACCAGAGTACTTGAAGAAAGTCCAATCTAGGGCTTGAACCCAGCATCTTCTTGATGTGAGGCAACAGTGTTAATTCCACTGTGCTGCCCAAACTTTTTCCCTGGGAAAATAACCCCTTTTTTAAATTCATAATAGCACTTTACTTCCAAGTAACTGCAAACACTTTCCCTCTAGATTTGGGAAGACGTGAAAAAAAATCTTATAAGGAGAAACACAACAAAAAAATCTATTTAAGATATTGATTGTGGATATAAGGGAAATTTATTTTAGGTATCGGAAATGTTGTTTTGAACTGAACTTTACCTGCCCTAAAATTGTTGTCTGTCTGAGATATGCTACAAAAGCAAGCCATACMCTAATATTAGGGCATAATAAATAGAGGAAAACAACTCATATCAAAATATAGTTTCTCATTTAATATGATTTTGATACACAAATAGTTAGATAAACAGCTGAGAGATTGTGTGCAATGTTTTTTTTTTCTGCAAAGCAAAAAGAGCACAGGGCGTACCACGAGCTTCAGTTATATTTTGCAATAGAGCATCATCTAGTGGCCAAAGGAGTCTTTTTTTTTATTTTACCATCAGAAGTCAATACAGTACTACTTTTTAAAGATTCCTTAAAAAATAAATACTAGTGGAACACATTTTAACTGTAAAAACATRTTGAAATGCACAGCTGATAAACTCAAAATATTTGTCCTCATATTATTATAAACTAATAATATGTTATATGAACTTTAGGTTAATAAAGTCATGAGCATTTACTTCTTTACCAAAGTTTTACTTTCAACCAGTAGGTGTCAGAAACTGTTCAGCCTTGAGTCTCACTATGCCAGAGTTATCTAAGTTGAAAGGTATTTTTGTTTTATTGACGGATGCGTTCAGACCTTAGACTATGTGCTTCTTTTTCCACAAATGAGTGCAGATTTTTTTTCTTCAAGAAATGTTGTAATACTGACTGTAGTAAACTTATCATGAGGCCATCAATGTTAGTAGTTTAAAAATATAGCTAAATATCTGAAATAAATTGTATAGTTAAAAAACTGTTCATCGTAGTGCATATTGAAAAATTAGCACAAGTAGCTATATATAGCAGTCTTATGTGTTGTACAAAGTGCCACCATTTCCCTCCCTCCATTCTTAAAATTCTGAATGCAATATTTACAACACATATTGTTATAGAGTAGTACAAACAACGTGTCAAATGTTTTAATCTAATATAATTAATATTAATGTAGCCATGCTATTTGACGATTCACTCATCTGACTTTATTTTGAAAATATCAGCGGAAACGTTGATGCATGTGGACCGGAAGTGTCGCGTGAGTGAACTGGCCGCCCAGGCTCTTGAGCACACGGTATGTAGTTAATAAGTAATGTTTCTTTTTCCTTCAATTTTACCGAATGAAATGCCAGTGTGGGGCCAGTTATTACATGTTAACTACGTGTTAACTATTTGTTATGCGTGTACGGTTCAGTGTTGCCGGCCGGACTGATGCTCCGGGTGGAAACAGATTGCGGTAACTGTGCTTAACTCCGAAACTAGAAGTTTAAAATCTCAAAGTTACTATATTAAACATCCAAATGTCACTATATTAATCAAAAACAATTTAGCTTAAATTGCCAAATATGGTCACTTTTGTTGTTGTTAGTTTAAAATGTTTTGTCGAAGTATAAATAAAAGCACGAGCATAAAATGTTTAGCGTTGCAGTGACACAAACAAATGTAGTGGCCTAACATCTAAAGTTAAAAACTAAAATGTGCCTATGTACGTGCTTATAAAAAAAAAGACTTCTAGTTTTTTTTTATGCGTACTTTTAATTTGAAAAGCAAATAGGCGGAAGTTGGTAGCTGTTTGCGGATTGACGGAAGGGAGGAGGAGGACAGCGGATTGAGATCATCGCTCTCATGGATCTCTCATTGCTGTCTTCATAGGTTAACCGTGTCACCTCTGAGATGTGTCCGTTTGGGTACGTAGCTCGATATCTGGCTACTGGCTGGTGATGTTTATGCTGTCAAAAAATAAGAAGTGGCCAAAACCTTGCTCCGGCTTTCCTTTCCGCCGCTGCTCCTCAGTTTTGCCTGGCAAATTAGCTGGCTAGCCGTTTTTTTCCCCCCTTTCCTTGCTTTTGCATAGCCAATATGGTTTCTCATTCTCAAACCTAAGTAGATGGAACATTTAAACTGACGTATGTTTCTCATTTCCCTTTTCAGCTCCTAAGCCTTTGTGGACTTGTTTTAGCCTGCAATATGAACAGAAGAAGAAAATAGGCAGCGGCGACTGGCTTCCTGTGGGATTCAACCCAGGCATTTTATTTTTTTTTTATTTCGTGGACAAGTCTGGTTTATCATGGAACAAAGCTGCGAGAGACTAGCTGGCCGACAGTTCGTCTAGCGCAACATTTCCAGGCTTTTAGATGATCATTCGGCCGAGGAGCTGATTTATTTTGGACCAGCGCTGCTTCCCTGCGGGAGTGAGGACTCAGCATGGGGGAGCCCAGCCTGGATGACTCCAATGTCAAGGTGGCTGTCCGTGTACGGCCCATGAACAGGAGAGGTGAGATGGGTTTATTCTGCTCAGACATGGATTGTTATATTCCACCTGGAAAAGAAAATACTCTAATAGCCAAAGCAGGATTGTGGTTTGTTGTTTGTGGGGGTTCTTTTTATGTGAAATCCTGACAGGAAATACAATCTGCTTCACCTATCAAACTGTATCTTACTAAGACATTTTTCTGAGGAAGCTGGCCCGTCTTAAGCACTCACTGGTCAGTTTTATAAGCGTGGGATGGCAGTCAGAAATCACTACCCATTAGTGAAATGAGCTGCTGTAGATGTAGTCTGGCTGGTCTGGATGGCACATGTTTTTACAGGGCTGCCATGGGGCTTCCCCTATGGATGCCTGCCATAAGATTTAAAGCCAAGCTGCTGTGTGAGATTTGCTGTTCGAAAGCCTGGATGCTTTGTCTCCCTTTCTGGTTGATTAGAGATGCCAATAGTGTCTTGATTTCATTTATCACTTACTGAGTGCATCGGCCTAGTCAGTAGTTTAGCCGAAGCGATTTTGGCTTCCAGCATCAAGGATCAGAAAAAAGTTCTTACTCTCAATCAAGGTTGTACAGAGCATCAGTGTGCTGTGTCATTAGCAGGGAATAGAGTTGCACAGTGACATCCTTTCACGACTGAAGCTTTTCTTTTGCTCCTGTTACCACTGTCTCAAAAAGGCCACCCTGCTCTGCATCCATCCACTGAGCTTCCCAAGGCTGCTGCTGCTGCATGTTGTCACATCCTCGTGTCTAATTTCAGAGAAGCTTGGGTAACAAAGACGCAGTGTCGCACAAGTCTTCGTTCACGCTCTACTGGTCCACGCCATTATTATAGCTGATTTCCAGCACTGCACAGAGAGGCGCAGATGACATTTCCTGGTTGCTTGCCAAGCTGGGTTTGTGCCATGGGATACCATGTGTCCCATGAAAGAAGGAGGAGGAGGAGGAGGAGCGGTGGTGACCAAAAACTGCCAAAATGAATCATATGTCCTCCTCACTAAACATTCTGCTGCCCCAATCTGAGCTGAAGATGTAGGTTCACAAGATGAAGGCAATGGACAACCACACTGTTCCCACAGGCAGGGAATTTACCACCTGCACTCAGGCAGAGATGCTCTGCTTTCTGGAGGATTTTCTCTAAGGTTAGACGTATAGAAATGTAGTTTATTTTTTGTTAATTGACATTGAATGTTTGTGATGTTCAATTGTTGTTAAGCTGATGTTGAAAGGGAGAGAGGTTGAAGTTAGCTCTGGCTGAATTTTCTCAAATGAGGTACATTTGATTGTTGTTTGGTTTCTCCGTGAGAATATCACTTGTACACAGGTTCTGATTTCTTTGTTTTCTCTCTATCTGACCATGACCTTGTGAAAACAAGTGCAAATTCCAGCATTCTTCAGTAAAAACGTCATTACCCTTTTTTTTAAACTTTTGTTAAAGTTAAAACCAGGTTACTGATGTTAAATTGCCATGTCAAAGTGTTTTGTTTTATTTTGATAAATACACAACCATTTTCAGGAAGTCAGCGTGGATGCTAATGTCCTGCCAAAGGCTTGTTGCAGTGCTAGTAGAGCTGGGCGGTATGACCTAAATTTTATATCACGGTATTTTCAACAATTACACCGGTTTCACGGTATTTGACGGTATTTTTTTCCTCTCAGCTCAGCTGATAATAAAATGTACAAACTTTGTTTATTGACTTTTTTCTTTTACTGTACCTCTGTGTCACTGTTTCCATTCTCTTCTACGTCTTTTCTTCTCTGCCTGGTTGTAGACAGTAATCATGCATTTTAGTCTGATCATGAAGGGTGGAGAGAAGATCATCATCTGGTCAATCGTCTGTTGATAAAACTTAAAAGGACAACTCAACTTGCACACCAGTCAACTTCACTCGACAACAAAACTACATCCCCCGGGCTTTTCACAATAGAAGCACATTAAAATCTCTATGCATTAACGTCTCCATTATAACATTGCAAGTTAAATYTAACCGTGCACGTCACTGAAGCATTTACTACATTCAGCAGTGGTGAAAACGGGATGTTTGTTTTACGTCAGTCAATATAAGCAGCTGAAACACCCCCCCGCTTCCAGTTATTGCAATGTTAACATGCTAATGCCCTTAGCGGTGCTGCGGGAAACATGTCCCCCAGGAAACAGTTCACTGGCGGCCGCGGCGAAACGTTCCGCACGTGTTCAGGCTATGTTAACCAGTATGTCCGGTATTCAGTTAATTCATATCATAACAAAAATAAAAACCGGTTTTCGGTACAAAACGGTATACCGCCCAGCACTAAGTGCTAGATTTTCAGCATTGGCATCCTGGTTATTTCTGTAGTGATTCTGTATGCTTGGTGTATTTTCAGATTTTTCTACAAAAAGGAATCACAGTTCAGATGTATTGTTAACTACCTTATGTTTTGAGTTGCTCAGTTTGACCTCAGGTTTTCTTCTGTTCCCTGCTCTCAATGGCTGCTTTAGAAGATTGAAGCACTATTTGAGGAATGGCACTTTCTTCATTCACATTTTTCCAGAGGTGTGGTGATGGAGATTTGCAACTCTAAAAGAATGAACAGGCAGCGCAGCGATAACCTCAAGGCCAGCGTCCCAGTGTATCCCAGGTTTAGCGGGAGTGGTAGTGTGGCTGCCTGGCTGGACAAAGACAGGAAGGGAGTGAGTCTGAGTGAGCGTTTGCTAACATTGCATAATATTCCATGTTCCCATGTATGTGGCCTTCGAAGAACAGAGCAACCCAAGGCTTAGCAATGGCAGTGCCACAACCACTGAGCTTCCTGGCTGAATGCGGGACTGTTGTGCCAAACCTCACCATAGATGGAATCTTAGGAAAGGTCCAGAGTAAAAGTGCAGTGCAATGGAAAGTGGGCGCTGGTTATGGAGCAGCCAGAGCCTGGTAACAGTTGCTACATTTATCCTCTGACCATACTGCATCACACTTTCCCCCCAGGCTGAGCAGGAAATATGACTAGAGCAGTGTAATAAGGGGATCATGGGTATTGTAGGCAGACGAATATGAAGAGAAACAAGTACAGGATTGCTTTCAACCATCCGTGTCTGTCAGTCCCACTGCTTTGTGGTAACTTGGCAGCAGAGCAAAGTCCACTTACCTTTAACACCAAGTATCCATGATTCTTACTCATTTTTCCTACCAGAAGCAGTCTGCGCCTCGCTGGAAATACCAAATATTTCTGGTTTGATTAGCAGCAGCTATGCTCCATCAAATATAGAGCTGCTTATGTTGAAAATTCCTTCAGTGTATCAGAGGACAAATGACAGGTGATTCTGAATCTGACCTTTAGGCTTTGCTGAGCCACTTAATCAACCAACTTTAAAAGAAATAGCAAGATTTTGTAGTCCAAATACAGCTATTATTTACAGTATATTTCACAAGGCAGGAAGGTATTTAAAAAAAGGATCATTGACTGTGTCAACAGCAATTTAAAAATATTTTTGTCTGGACTTAGCTTTGCTCAACAAAGATTCAATCAACAAAATTATGAGCCAATTCGATTGGATCAAATCATTGCACGTTGAAACAAAAAAGGGTTTTGAAATTGCTTTTCTTGCATCTATTTTGGATTGTTCATAAACTTGTAGCACATAACTGATAGTATGCAGTTGTTCGTTTTATTCTGACTAGTCAATTATTTTTTTATAAACATCCCTGCTCTGCAGTAGTTGCACTTGCATCATAAAAAGCAACAGAAGCTCGCTCCATTACAAAAGTCCATTTGCGTATCATGGTACTCTTAAAGGCAGGTCTTGTTGAAGACAGGAATTGAAACTACTGACAGTTTCCTGTCCTCCCCGTTGCAAGCCTATGCACAATAGCAAATATGAATGTAGATCTCCCTTTTTGTTTACGGTCTTGTTAAAATAATTCAGCCTCTTAATAAACAGATGATGTATTTTATGGGTGTATTTTAGTAAAAAAATAAAAAGACCAAGTAGTCATGCAAGGCATCCGATAACTTATTTTATTAGTAGTACTTGTCTTGCATTTGTAGGAAATGTTTAATAAATACTTGTGTTGAGCTGGATGCATGCTTGTTTACATGAGGGCCGGCCCTGACTCAGCTCCTACAGTTGAAGGACAAAATGTGTTTTAATAAATGCCTTTTGGCAAACACTTTGCAGCTGAAGGAGTGCAGTTCTCACACTGACCTCTGACCTTTCTCTAGAGTCAGGCAAAAACTGGAGGATATCCTTAACAAGAGGAGTCCTCATCTTTATCTTATCAGTGAGGAAAACATCAAGAGTTTATTTATGCTTGAAGGAAGTAATGTGATGTTTTGATTTATTATTAATTTACAGATACTTGCACACATGTTATGGACATTTTTAAAAAGAAAAAAACCTTGACCATAATGGAAATAAAAATAGTAATGATGAGTTTGTTCTATTTTGACATGGAGTGCTTTATTTCTGCAAATACAAAATGAATTATTTGTTTAACTTAAGGAGGACCCCCCCCCACAGACACACACACACACACACACCCAAAAGTGTCTGGATTAATTTAGCTTCTGTGTGTGACTGTAAAAGTCTAATTACTGTAAGAGCAAATAGACTAGTTGGCAAACTCTAAACTCAATAAAGTAGTTGTTTTATTAAAAGCATTGCTGACTCTCTTGGCCTGAGACAAAAACCTGAGTGGACGAATCATTAAGACCACTCCTAAAGCTGAGTTGGAAACAGTTAGTTGGTCTTCTAAAGGTCAGCTGGTTGCATCATGGCACACGTAGTCCTGTTTTATTGACAAGTCTTACTCCAAGGTAAAAGGTCATTTTTAGATTCTGTGTCCCAACAATCTCAATTAATTGTTTACATCTGACATTCAACAGAAAATGATTGTAGGGTTGCTGTTTGGTCTTTAATAACCACTACAAATTAGAATCGTGTTTGTAAAAGCTGTCCATAATTCAATCCAATTTTCAAAACAGTAATCATTTGAGTGCATTTTCACTCGTGTTTGCTTGTAAAATGGTTTTTAAAGTTTGTGTAGTAACATTATTTCTTTTGTCTGATCAACAGAAAAGGACTTAAACACAAAATGTGTTGTGGATATGGTGAAGAACCAGACAATTCTCCACCCTGCTGGAGCTAACCTTGGAAAAACTGACTCCAGGTATGTGTGTTAGTGTTATGGTTCATTTCTAGTTCAACACCGCTGGATTTTTTATTTTTTGTGAAAGTGTACCGTCATGTTCCTGGTTAGACGTCTTTTAGCTAAGTAAGATCAATTGTGGGAAGAATTGTATTAAATGCTAGCTAGACATTAACTTCTCATCAGTCAAGCTTTTTTCTGGACAAACTCTTTTACGGCAACTTGATCCTTGACTGTTACTGTTACACGTAGAGAAAAGTCAGCCTGAAGTGCTGAATTTTTCATAATATGCCACGCTGATTGTTATTGGTGTCCCTTCACACACTCTATCTCTATTAGGTGGGTTTAGTGTGAACACTGGAGACTGTACATTTAAAATACTGAATAACTGTCATGATTCCTGTACGCTGACAGAAATACAGAGGCTTTGGAAATTATGCCTTTGTTCTAAAAACAACTTTGTTGGAAACATGCTCTATCCTTATGATGTAGTTTTTGGCAAGATGTGTACTAACCCAAAAGGACCAAAATACTTCATCTCACAACACCTGTTACTTTTTTGTCATCTCTTGGTTTATTTTCTCTCATCTTGTTGACCAGCTGTTCTTATTTGGCTGTACTCCTGTGCGTTTTAATCTCCACTCTGAGAGAGGCTTTTAGATGTATTACATTCGATTACAAGACAGAGCAGGAATGTGTTCCACTGAGAGGACCTGTTATAAAGGTCATTATTCCAAATGTAAACCGAAAGCTGTTTTTATGTAATGGTGCAAAATCGGCTTAGGTCCAGTTTAAGAACTGACTGGTCGTCTTTGGGAAAGCCAGCTGTGTTGGAAGAAAGATCCCCTTGTAACATTTGGAGCTGCCCGCTGCCTGGCTGATTAGAATCAGTAAATAAGGCTAGATTTAGTTTGAGTTTCAGGAGCAGCAGCAGCAGGTGTGTGTGTGTATGTGTGTGCGTGTGTGTGCATGCGTGTGTGTGTGTGTGTGTGTGTGTGTGTTCGACAGACAGCAGCATTGAGACACAGTCAGACACAGACACTCGTACATAACTCCGATCTTCTCTCCCCTCGCTCCATCAGATCGTAACGTCCCGCTGCCCGGCTTTCCTCCTTTTTTCTCAACTCTTCTGTTTCTATGGCAGCTCGGTGGGAGGTTAACTCCGGGTCGCTGCTGATGACCAGGGGAGCCCCTTCCATGAGTGAGGAAAAGATGGAAGAGGGGAAAAAAGCTTCATTTACTCGAGCATCTGTCGACCATAAACCTTCCTCAGTGACGTTTATGGAGGAGTGAACAAGAGCAGAGCTGTAGGCTCTCTCTCTGTCGGCCTGTGACAAAGAGGCGAGGGAGCTACAGCAGGATGGGCTGACTGACTGCTGCTCTCATTGTGCAGATGCTGTTTTAATTTTGTTTGTTTGAGTCCAGTTTACATTGATGTAGTACTTTGTAGGGTGGTTTGGAAAAAAAGACTGGAGTGGGTTCATAGAGGAAGTAGGCAGTTAAGTTAGTGCGCTGCAGGTGCCTGATGTTTGCTTAAGCTGACTGAGTCACCAGGACTTCCTTTGTTTAAATATGTGAGGATGTATTTAGAAGAAAAGAAGGGATCATAAAGAGAGGATGGCTACAAACCAGATCTGTTGTGGTGCATTTTATTTCAATAATTAGATTTTAATCAAACAGATATTAATATACCCAGATAAATTTTGTTAAATCAATAAAACTGACCAAACTGCATTATATTAATTGTATGTGTATATTCTTTCTAAAAAGACTGTAAAATTTGTTTATGGCAGAGATAAATTAAACATTCAACCTGTAAAGGTTAGCACTTTTATAAACCCATTGTTGCACACAGACCTTTCAGCTCATTTGCCTGCAGTGCTACACAAATGAGCTACGGAAAGGATTTCCTGTTTATAGACATAATATACACGGAAAACCTTTATTATTTATTACTTGTAGACCTCTAAAGTTTGCATTAGGCTTAGTAAGTTAAATTAAATACATGGAATATTTTTATTCATTCCCAAAATGAAAAACATGTTACAGTTTATTTATTTATTTATTTATTTATTTATTTATTTATTTATTTATTTATTTATTTATTTATTTACCGTTATTTAACCAGGCAAGTCCYGTTGAGATCTCAGAYCTMTTTTTCAAGGGAGGCCTGGGCCTGAAGGCAACCTAYTGTRCATGTTTTTAGGGGTGGGTGAAACCAGAGTACCCAGAGAAAACCCACGCAAGCACGAGGAGAACATGCAAACTTTGCACAGAAAGACCCCAGGTCTGAACCGGGGCTCGAACCCTTCTTGCTGTGAAGCGTTGGTGCTAACCACTGAGCCATCGTGCTGCCAATACTGTACTGTAGAACAACAATAACRAGAGCAATACAAAATAAGAGCAGTGGGTGATTATGAAAAGTATTTACATACTGTAGGGCCACAAGAGTGTGGGATTTGATCAGTACTTGTACCATTTGAAATGGACCATAGGTGGTGTCTGCAGTGTTTTTATTATGTGTAGAGATTTGTGTGTCTGTAAATATTTGCATCTAACTTCTCATTTGTTTACTCTAAAGCTTACGAATGCTCATCTAGTAGTAAACAATAATATGAATTGCGCACATCACTGCTTCTTTATGAACTCTGAGAGTTAAGATTTAATTGCCCTGTTTAGCATCAATTAACATTTTGTTTGGTGTTCAATATCCCATACCCCCCCCCCACCCCCCACCCCTTTTATTTTTTTGTTAAATGACCAGTGATGTCAGGGCAACTTGTACCACTCTGTCTGATAAGCAGACTTTTAACCTCCCTGCAGCTTCATGATCAGAAGCTGCAGTTTGCATGATGACCTGAGGCTGTTTGCTCTGGACTGGTGAAACTAGATGTTGACACACTCGGACAAAGATCTGTCCCATGTTAGAGATGCAAACACAAGCAGCCTGGTTTCCAAGACGATAGACAAAGAAGCTGTTTGGTCCTGTGTCTGAGTCGATGTTGTGTGTTTTTGAGTGCGTGGGTGTATCAGTGGAAGTCTACAAACCGCTTTACTAATGTAAAGTCTGGGAAAACACTAGGCTGGTTTACACAGTTTGGATGTTAGCATAAGCTGTCTACTATATAATCATGTTCACAGCATGAGGATCTATTGTCCCCTGGCCCTGCAGTCTGTGTGCACTGTAATAAAGCATTAGGCTCTTACATCTACTGTTGACATGTGCCATCAGTATGTACCGTGTTACCCCGATGACCTTTGTACTTCAGCTTAAAATTCCAGTCTCAGCTCCAGTCCTGTTCCCCTCTAAATCCCCTGGCTACCTCTTAGCTTTCTTTCCATCCTTCACTCCTTGTTCCTTCCTACACGGCCGTGGATTCTACGGTGCGAGAGAAATAAAAGAATTCAGTAACAGTAGGGAAACAAAGGGGAGGGGTAGAAGCAATCATGCATTAAGTTATTTTTTAAATGACGGCGACAGGCTGAGGAGAGGAGGAACAAATAGGATTGTTTCAGAGCAGAGAGAAGGCGGGTTCACACTCTCCTGACCGTCTCATTCTCCTCTGTCATTGGTCAGCTGCACCCCCAAACTCTGTTAGTGGGTGTTTGATCGCAAAACATGGGTGACCCCTCTTCTCCTATGGCCTCTGAAGCAGCTATGACAGCTGTCATCATTATGCATGTCAAAACCTGCCATGCTAATTTAATCTCTTAACTGGAGATATGGCTACAGGCAGATCGGAGGAATAAAATAACCTTCAGACAAACAGAAATATCTTAAAGACAAGGGGTTGCAAACAATGTCAGTGTGAGGTTTTAAAGAGCCTGATAGGCTATTGGTGGAAAGGTGGAAAAGTGGAAAACCCATGTGTTTTCGTTGTGTTTGCATATAAACAAGGCAGTGAAAAGAAAACAAGGCAGTGAAAAGAAAGCGTTAATTATGTTGCTATTTTTAAAAGCTACTGGAATCCATGAAACTGCAGATAGGAGGAACTCTGCATGTATCTGTGAGTCTGCAGTGGAACGTCTGTGAGAAATGAAGTGTTACAGATTGTTGGCCAGTTGTGTAAGAACTGCAGCTTTGGTGGCTTATGAAGAATGTGCATGGGTAAAAAGAAACAGGTGTGTGAGGGTATTTCAGCTGTCATGTCTGGAGGAGAAGCATTGTGAATTTAAACTAAAGCAGAGTAAACTGATTAATTCAAATAAATGCACAGTAAATGTAATACCTTGAAGCAAATTGTAATGTTTATTTATGTGCATTTTTTTTGCAAACCAAATTTAATTAGATCGTGTTAATATTTTATTAATGTCGTTTTCCACATTTTATACAAGAGGACCCTCATTATTTAGGTCAAAGTTAGCAATGTTTCTGCTCAGAGATTCATCTTAACATGCTTTAAAACTACTGTGATAATTGAAGGAGTTTCCTGAACTGAATTATTTCTGTTTTAATCATGTAAATCACCTCTCTCCTACTTCTGTCCTAATCTTTTTGCTTGATGCAGGCATGGCTGAAAAAAGAAAAAAACATAGGACAAAGTGAGAAGTTAGAAAAACATAAAGCTATGATTTTAGCCTGTGCATTTAATAAATTAGAAGCGTTTTCCCTTGTGTATATGTAAAATGTAAGAAAAAGGCACACTTCCCTGACATGCTTGTTTATGACTTCACTGATTTTGCAAAACCCTGGAGAGCATTCAGTGGTTTCATTCTTAGTGATTCAGTGCTTCGCTGTACATGTTCACCCATTCACACCTTGTTTTTCTGGAGCTTTATGGTGCTTTCCCACAGGATGCAGTGGGTGATGTACAGTATGTGCTCACCACAGAGGTTATGGTGCAGAGTACGGGAGATGGACTCACTCCTCAAGTTCAACGCTAGTTGCTTTGCGACAAAAAAATATCCAGGAAGTAGCTAGTTTTACCAGCTGCAGGCTTAATTACAGGATGTATCTGTCAAGCTGTCAGAGGAAACCCCTGGCATTATTTTTACTGATGAGGAGGAAAAGAAGAAGAGCAAAAAAAACAATAATAATGTAGAGTTTAGGTGCTTTCAGGAGTTGTAACTGTATGGCTTCCATGTGTACTTTAGAAAAAGCATGAAGCAATGTGACAGTGTGTTAGCCTGAAAAATCTCACCAAGACTTATAAACATGAGCCAACTGAGACCCAGAACCTTGGACCTAAGGCTTACATTGATCGGTTTATGCACACACAAACCTTTATTTGTATGTTAGTAATTCCCTCTAATTTGACAAGTTTTGATGTCACAGAGCACTGCTCCCAAGTTTAACATGTTTTACTTTAGTGCAGATGACTGGACCTTCCCACAAACCACATTCACACATTAGGACTGTTTATTTTGCACATATAATATTGGGCATGTCCCGATCCAGATTTTTTGGCTCCTGGTACAATCTGATTTTTTTAATGATTAGTCTTTCCGATACCAATCTGATACCGATCTGATAGCTTTATTTCTTTATTTCTTTCCAAGTGACAAGGTTGGTAGTATTAAAGCGAGCCCTGCTGTTCCCACCATGAGAAACATCCAGTTTGCAGATTTTGCAAGATGCAGTTTCAGGATCATTGTTTTCCATTGAAAAGTGTTCTCACACTGTGGACRTGGTTACATACTTTTGTGCCTCTTGACTTAATAGCAGTTGTGAAGCATGATGATGCTGAAAACTCGATCAGCCCGATCACATGACTACATCTGATTCTACCCGATTTTCAAAAAATGGCCATATCTGCCACCGATACCGATACTGAGTATCTGATCGGGACATCCTAATAAATGTTACAAAGTTTGAGATTTAATAGGTTTGACAAATTTCTTTTTAAATGAATTTAGTTCATATTCATAAAGTGTAGGTGGATAAGACTTGCCAGGACTCATGATTGTATTTATGTTTCATGGCTGGTTGATTAGATCTTAGTAATTCTTCTTTTCTGTTTTATTAATCTAAAACGCTAGCACAAAACTGCCATCGATTTATGATTGTTAATTTGTGTACATTTAGGTTTGTAATGCCTCAAGTGTACTATGAGAAAAAGAAAATATGTAAATGTAAATGGCCTGATCTTAAAGCGCCTTATCAAGTTCCTACAGACTCCAAAGCGCTTCACACTACAGTTATTCACACATTCAAACGCTGATTGATGGTGGTAAGCTACAGTGTAGCCACAGCAGCCCCCACCAGCAGTCAAAGCAGGTGAAGTGAGCGGGGGTTCAAACTGGCAACCAATCGGTTACAGGACGACTCTCCTACTTCCTGAGCCACTGTTGTAATGTTCAAAAAGGGCCAACGTCAGAAAATTATGTATTTATTCACTTTTTTGCAGTACTTGTAGTTATTTTTTTCTACTTTTTAATGATAAAATTGCACCTAGTTTGTAGCTTTGATATTTCCTTGTATGTAGAATAAACCACATAGTGTTGACTGTTTGTGTGTTTTAAAGACTCTGCTTCTAGCTAAATGCCTTTAATACTGGTATTTCTGTGTGTGCTCTAATGTATGTGAGAGTATGCATTTGTTTAAAATTTGTGTTAAAGATTAGATGTTTTCTAAAGAAAATCATTTATCTTGTCTTTGTAAATGCTGTAGTTTTAGTTTTATTTGTTTCACTTCCATCAGAGGCATTTTCCCACATGTGCTTGTCCACTTCTCTGCGTGACCTCGACCCAGTAACCTTTGTTTGCCATCATCTGATTCAGCTGTGCATTATCTCAGCCCTAAGCCAACTTCAGCACAACCCCCTTTTAGCACAACAAACACACACTCAAACAAACACACATACAGCCCTCAAATAACTCACCAAACTCTGAATTATACAGCATGTCCTCTAAAATCCACAACATTCTTTATAAGCCCTCCTAATGGTTAAATTTGGCATGTAACAAATGAGATTTAGGAAAAAGAGAACATTTACACACAGCCATAATAGTCAGTCTCTTGTGTCTTTAATGACTTGTCTAAACAAAGCTTTTTCTCCTATCTTGGTTCCAGTGTTGCTTTTAGCACAGCCCATTTACGTTTTTGTTTCCCACTCTGCCTGGGACGTGTTAGCTCTTAATGGCCAACAGGCTGAATTCCTTATTAATGTGCTCTGAATGTCTTTTCTTTCCACATGCTCCTGTGGACCTTGACCTTCCCAACATCACCAGGAATCAGTCCAAGGTAAAGGCGCACACCAGCACATGGTGAYGTTTTTAAAACTGAGCTGGTTCCATAATTATGAATCATCTCTGTGTAAAACAAAGACACCGCTGTCCTCAGCTCTGTGAAAGAACTGAGTCCACCATACAGAGTAATAATCTGGAAGGCTGTGAAAACCATAAACTTCTTGTGAAATTTAATAATTTAAAAACTTAAAAAAGCCACTTTACTTCACTTTACTGTTTGTATTTCCAGGTCTATTTTCTGTTAGTGGAAAAATACACACACTACAGTACAAACACTGACACTTAGATACCTCTATCATTACTCTTTTCTGAGTGATTTCATGTGATAGAGGGATAGTTTGATCAGTTCAAAGCATTTTGAGGCAAACATCACTATTGCTTAAATCACAAAGAACTAGGTTACATCTTCCAGTTGACAATTATTTAAAAACAAGCATTAAGAGGAGATATAAACTGTGTGACAAAAGTGTTTGTTTCAAATCAGTTTCCTTCAGTATTTTTCCTCATCTTTTTGAATTTGTTTAAAACAGAACCTGAAAGGAAAGTCATCATCATGCTATTTCCCCTTGTGGCTTACTGATGACTCCACATAAACTAAAATTAGTTTAAGTGCCGTTTCAATATTTAATTTTCTTAAAAAATATATGTGAAAACTATAAACTGAAGCCCACAATTGAAATTGATGAGCTACAGGAGAATCAACTCAGAGAACAGTTCACATGAGCAGGCTCTGTTCTACCATGTCAGCTGCTTTATAATGAACATGGATTTTTTTTTTTTTACTCTTGGAGATTTCTGCTTGGTTGCAATCAGACATCCTGTAAGTTTCAAGCTTCAAGTTTCCTTTGTATCTCCTCAGGTTTTTGCATATGATTATTGCTTCTGGTCCATGGATGAAACAGATAAGGAAAAATTTGCAGGTTAGTTCTACAAAAAATGTTGATTGGTGTTTTTTTGTTTGTTTGTTTGTTTGTTTGTTTGTTTGTTTGTTTTAAAGTTTTAAGCCTCATCGTTCTGTAATTTGAGTAATCTTAAGGTGTAAATAACAGAATTATTTTGTGTTGTGTGACCTTTTGTGTGTGTGTTATTTCATTCCAGGTCAGGAGGTGGTGTTTCAGTGCCTTGGGGAAAGCCTTCTCCACAATGCCTTCCAGGGCTACAATGCCTGTATCTTTGCCTATGGACAAACTGGTAACATACAATTAGACTTCACTGTTTCATACTTTAGAATACTGTCATTGTTATTGTCTTATAACAAGATCTTAAAGTCTTTCTCTCAGGACAAAGAACATTTAGTAACAATTTTAGTACTGCAATTTTTTAACAACACAGTTAAAGTTAAATATAAAGTCTGTGGAGAGAAAAATGAGCTTGAAAGTATGTGAGGTTGTTTGTCAACTCCTATGAAATACAGAAGTCTGATTTTAAAATGTTGAGCAGCAATAGTAGTTTCTATTTTTAGCTGGGTTTTATCCTCATCTGCTGTAACAAAGAAACATAAAAAAGTGTTTTATCGTAGCACCTGGGCTCAGTCTGCTCAGTGTTTGTGTGTGTTTGTTTCAGGTTCAGGAAAATCATACACCATGATGGGTTCTGGTGACCAGCCGGGGCTGATTCCTCGCCTGTGCAGCGCTTTGTTTGAGCGAACGCAAAAAGAACAGCGGGAGGAGGAGAGCTTCACTGTTGAGGTTTCCTACATGGAGATTTACAACGAAAAGGTCCGAGATCTGCTGGATCCCAAAGGGTAGGAACCAAAGGATACTTTTAAAACTTTTACAAATAAATTTAATATTTATTACATTATTGTATCTTATCATGTCTGTAACATGACAGCTCTGATAAATTCAAAACTTAAAAAAATCTTTTCCCCCACTTAAGCCAAATGAAAATTAAGTGTTGAGTTTATAAACTGTGCTGCTTTTTAAAGATGCTATTATTTTAGTAATTGCTTTGTCTTCTCATTGTTGATATTCTGCCTGTTGCAGCTCATTTACAACCAAATCCTCCAAACAACTGGATGTGTTCAATTCTTATATTTAATAATATCAATGCGTGTCTTTTGTTTTTGCATTTTGAAAAAAAATATCTCACATGTTAGGTTTTGTAAAGGAATGTCTGTTTTAACATACAGTTAACACTGTGGAGGACTCTGCAAGCTGCCGTGATGTGCACTGGTCAGTGGGTGAAAAGATTAGCATCCAGCTTTGCAGTCACTGATTGAGGCCAGTTAATGTCCAGCAGGTCAGCAGTAAATCAGGACTGCAGGCCTCTGTCTGCTGCCCCAGACGCTATGACCTTTGACTCTCGCTCTGTCAAGACCTTTAACCTCGGTAAAATGAGCCCGAGAGCAGCACGCCATCTGACAGCCATATGCGCTTTTGCTGGGAACTCAAAAATGATGAAGTTTTTAGGCCAAGAGCAAGTTGGACACAAGGTCAGAGAGCTGAGTACTCATAAAGTCTGGGTGGTGTGTGCAGTAGTCACCAGGAAAAGCCATGTCTGTATTATCAGCAAGAGGAGTAATTACAAACAGTGACTGTTTTAGTAACTGTCCATGTTCTAAACCTGTTTTTGTTTTGTGTCCAGGGGGAGACAGACTCTGAGGGTGAGAGAGCATAAAGTTTTGGGTCCATATGTTGACGGTCTGTCTCGACTTGCAGTTACTAGCTACAAGGTACAAGGGTTTATTTTGTGCATTTTCCTCTTTCTTTTGTGTTAGGGTTATTGATTGGTGTCCTCTTTCACCACAATCACTTTTTAATGTTTCAGTTTCCTGCAGACACTCGATTACATTATCTCACTTGCATTTTCTCTGATGTCTAACAGTGTTACTCTCATTTTCTATTTCTAGCCGCAGAGCAACATGTTTAAACTGGTTTCCATGAAAAGCTACACCTGCTAAAACAAGTCATTTAAATGCTTCTCCATTAGCAGTGTGACTTATTTACCTTCAGGGCTTCAATGAACACATAACTGCATAAACATCTTGTAAATATTACAGTCCCCCAGTGAGCACGTTTATAAGCTACGACAACATAAAGAGCAGCATCACACTCCATCCTGCAGGCTGTGATAGACCACAATAAGCAGGAGTCTTTTTCTTTTTAGATTATTTGGTTCATTTATGAGTTTTCTTGTTACTAGACCATGAAAGTTGTCCTCACACAGAAGCTTTGAGCTGTCAGCTGACATACAGTTAGATGATAATCTATCAAACTCATTTTATGAATTGTTGCTGTCAGTTTTAAATCCCACATWTTAAATTACATCAGTAAATGTGTTTAAGCAGTCAGAAGTGAGCTTTTCTCACTCTTCCTGTCATAAGTGCTTCAGCCTCAGAGAATATTGACGTGTCCTTGAGTTTAGTTCACAACAATATCAATTGGAAGCTATTTACGGTCTACTGATGGCCTTTTAAAAAGTCAAATGTTTGCGGAGAGCTTTTGACCAGTGAATAAAGGACTATAGTGTCTGTAGACTTCAAAATAATCCCTCTTCAAAAAAAAAAAAAGACTCAAAAACTCTGGATATAATACAAGTTATTCAAGAATTCGATATTACAGTATGTTGAACAACAATAATAATAATCCTGATTCTATATATAAAAAAAGACTTGTGGAAAAAACATTTAAATTAAAAATTTGTGAGGCACAAATGCAAGTGAAAGGAAAACATATATTTTTTAAAACAGTCAAATTTAGGTTATTTGCTAAAATGTATAATTCTTTTGGAACTAAGCTGCAAAAATAAATACAAAAGGTCAATTAAATTAGAAAACATAAGCTCTCCCTTTTTAATTTAATTGGTGCATTTTAAGTGCATTTATTTGTTTTTTGGCCCATTTATATATGACTGCTTTTCTTTTTAATCATGTCAGTTTCAATCTTCTATAGCTAATATGTCAGGGAAGCAAAATTGGTCGATTAGTGATGCAACATTTCTGTTATAAATTTTAAAAGAGCTCAAAATTATAAAACACCTTGATGATCAAAAGTGCACACTGAGTGCAGTAATACAGTATCTCCACCAGTATTAAAGCTGGCCTGGGTCAATTCTGGGTGCTCAGAGAACAGAACGTTAGTTTATGTTCATCATGGAAATATAATTTCTTTTTCTGTGTTTTTATTTATTTATTTATTTATTTATGGAACGTCTACAACTCTGGGCATGTCTGTACTTCTATTCTGAATAAGTCTGGTGCATGTAAATGCCTGTCATTATCAGATGAATTAATTTTGTGCCCATGTAAACAATTTGATCTGAACACATTTAAATTCAATCAAAGAATTTTGCGCATGTAAACATATTAGCTAGTGTCAATACTTGGGACATGGCCCCACGTAAATATAGGAACCTAATGACACATTTGTTTTGTAATTAATTACTTTCAAAGTATGTAAAAAGAGTCTACAGTATCAGCTGTAGATGAGACAGAAAATGCATTCAAAGGGATCTGTGTCCAGTTTGTACATGTTCCCAATGAATTGTCAAATAAACCTCAGCAAGTGTGATATAAAAAATAATAATAATGCCAACATGGTGTTTTCAAAGTCAAACATGAATATTGAGGCTGTAGGGGTCACTTCACTCTTCTTCACTTGAGGTGACCTCTACAAGGCACAAGAACATTGAGAAATTGTTTATCTATCCCAGTTTTCTACAATGATTGTGACTAAATCATTGTTTGCTAGTAAAACAGAACAACTTTGCTAAAGAGTTTGAGACTTCTGTTTGATGTTCTAATTTTAAGACGTAAAAAGTGCCTGAGTTTAAATTTAGGGTCAAATTAAAAGTGCCGGTTACAACTTACACTTTATCTGTTGAGTGAACGTGAGAAAGAACCAGTAACAGAATAACAGCTGATAAGGACATGAAGAGGAGCGAGAGAGACAAAAATATTGACAATTTGTCTCTTCTAATGTTTTGTAATAATATATTACATTATCTAATCATATTGATACCTGAAAACCATTTTTATTTTTTATTTTTTGTAAAATACCAAATATCCTTAAGTACCAACTGAATCACCACAAGGTTGACCTGATTCTGAGAGAAACTCTGAATTCTCAAAAGAATAGTTGTGCAAAAGTAGCCCTGAAGGATTTCTAATGAATATTGTTAATACTGTTGTGTTGAATTTGTTTGTGTCTGTTTTAATCAGGACATTGAGTCTCTGATGTCGGAGGGGAATAAGTCTCGTACCGTTGCTGCTACCAACATGAATGAAGAGAGCAGTCGATCACACGCCGTCTTTAACATCATCCTCACACACACGCTGAAAGACCTGCAGTCTGGGGTAAGATGTAAACATGCAAACACAACGATAAGAAAACTCTGCTTAAGAAAAGCTTTTACTGTAGTTACTAGTTCCCTTTCAGTCAATTCACTCGGTACAACACATCTTGTATGGGAAACCACGCCCCTGCGTGTCCTGGCTGAAGCCACCTCTAATCACGTCTTTAGGCAGGTGACGTGATGACGACAGATGTCAGGCTCCGCCTGCACATATATATACTGTCGCCATCACAGTTACTCCTTAGTTCTATTGCTCTTCACCTTGCAAGAACACCCACCTCTTCCAACCTAGCTAGTTAGCTGCTGCTAATTAGCTTTGTTTGTTCGAAGGTTCTCGGATTTAGTTTAACAGCTTTTGTTGGTGTCAGCTGCAGCTGCCTACTGGTAACTGTGTCAGCCCGCAGAGCGCAAACTTTGAGAAACCTTTCTTACCTCGACGAAAGAGAGAATTTTGTGGTTCGGGATGAGCACAAAATTACACAAGAAGAAGCAGAAGTCTTCAGTTCGCCCCTGTCCCCAGGGGTGCGGCTTCTCGCTCCATGAAAAGGACCTGCACGAGGCTTGCCCGGTCTGTCTGGGGATCGTCCATGCTCGTAGGGCGTTGGCGGAGCCCGAAGCGTGTGCTTTTTGTCGCCTGCTTCGACGCTCAAACCTGGAGAGATGGGTTAAGTTCTTGGAGAAAGTGCTGGGCGAGGCTGCAGTCGCGCGCCAGGACACTTTCCTCTCCGAGTCTAGCAACCAGGTTCCGTCCGAGTCTGACGAGGAGGAGCTCTCGGTCGAAGCCCCAGCTTCCAGCTGGGTGGACCGCGTGGCGTATATGGAGGGGTTAGCCGACAAGAAGAGGAGGCCTCACAATTTCATCTGGACCTCCACCACGGAGGGGAGGACGTGCTGGATATCGGCCTGGATGTGCATGGTCTGTCGGAAGACGACGATGAACCCAGTCCGAGTCCAGAAGCCCAGGAGGACACGTCTTTTCTCTCTTTGTGTCGTCGCGCGGCTCAGAAAATGGAGGTGGAGTGGCCTGCTCCCCCTTCTGCACAAAAACCGTCGCGTTTCGCTGGATTTTTTCTCCCCACTGAACCGACCACGGTGAAAAACCGCCTTCCCATGTTCCCAGACTTCGTCTCGGAGCTGACGTCCTGCTGGACCAAACCTCTGTCCACCCGCGTCACAGTGCCCGGTTATGGACCGTATTTGGAATTGGAAGGAGCTGAAAAACCTGGACTGGTGAACATACCTCCCATGGAGCCATCCCTGGCAGCATATCTGGCCCCGAAATGAGTGGAGAACAGGAGGGCTTCTTAAAGAAGAACTAACATGTCTGTGAGAGCCAAAATTCTTACTGGTTGATAGATGATCAAATACTTATTTCACACAATAAAATGGAAATTAATTATTTAAAAATCAYACATTGTATTTTTCTGGATTTTTGTTTTAGATTCCATCACTCACAGTTGAAGAGTACCTATGATAAAAATTACAGTCATCTACAAGTTTGCAAGTGGGAAAACCTGAAAAATCAACAGTGTATCAAATACTTGTTCTCCCCACTGTATATGCATAACATTACGTTTTTAAACAGGCATATTTTAAAACTGCTGTTTGAAGAATTTCAGCAACCTTTAATAGTAATAAATTAGATTGATTAAAAATATAAAATCTCAGTCTGCTGTGATTTTTGTCAGACACTGAAGTACAGGTGATTTCTCCAGACGTGTTCTGCTCCATGTATTTACAGTAGATCCTCCTCACTCAGTATTCATATCACATTTGTTTGTTCTTAGGGCAGGTGATTAGGGTAAAAAAAAATATGAGCAGTAACATGATCTGAATTTTCCCACAGATTTAGCTGAGCTCATGTGATCACATGATTAGTTGTGCACACGGCTGCTTTGATGCTTGGCCTCTGCATCACAACCAGTCAGGCTTTTTCACTCTTCATGGAGTCAGACGCTCCTCACAGGGCAATTACTTATTTTATGACTCAGTTTGTCTAGAAAGCCTAATTAAAATCCACCTTTTTTCTGTTTCCATCCGTCTGCCCCGTCTCATGAAGTATGCATGAATTTTCTTCTAAAAGCCTTCAGCTGTCTGACAGTGGGAAATTCACAAGGTTATAAATGACAAGAGAGTTTTTAGTCCTATATGTAATTCTTGTGAAGTCTTGATTATTTTGTGCTCTTAAGTTAACAGCTTCTGATATGTTTCTGCTAAAACAGCCTCTGTGGTCAGAGCAAAAGGAGTTACCAAAGGTGGTGATGTCAGCTTAGCTGGGTGACCAGGCCCTATTCAGAAAAAAACTTCAATGACTAATTCCTCTTCCTCGCTGACCCACTTTACCTCCCTGTTCCCTGCTCTTATTTCTTGGTACCACCAAATCCTGTTAATAATTTACAGGCATGACTTTGAGTTCGTCAGCTGATACAGCGGCTCTGTTTTCAACGTGTCCTCTCACAGTCATTGACTAAGTTGGTTAGTCAAACCTGAACAGCTGAACAGGCAGCTAATGTGTTCAACTGTTTATTCAGTGAGTGAATCACTGAGCTGACACGTCATCCTATTAAAATCTCTTTGAATAGAACTTTGTTTATTGTTTAACAGAAGACAAAGAATATGATCTGGGCGTCACATTGAAAGTCTCAGTTTATTTTCTTTTCAACTGTATTTAATTTTGCTGCTCTGTTAATTATCAGGGATGTTTGGATACTTCTTAGAGCAGCAGAAACAGTTTTTCCTGCAGTAGATTATCACATAATACAGTAATTACAAGTACTTAACCCGTATGTTTAGGTTACTTTAAAGCTGTTCATCAATCTGTACAGCCTGTGTTACAACAGATTTGTGATAAAAGGATACGTTAAATATAGTCACTGTTAACAGGTAGAAAAATAAACTCATCTGCTGGACGAGTCATTCTGAGAAATTATTCAGGTTTTACTTTTTCTTTCAGTAATGTGCTCTTATGAAGCTCATTTCCTGAACACTACACACAACGCTCACTCTTTGCTGCACTTTGACCTTGTTTGTTATACTCTGTCATGCAGAGCTTAAATGGTTTTAGCAAACACTTTTTTATAGTTTTATATAGCTTGTATTTTTTTTTCAAGATGGCATCCACCAGATCATCTGATCCGTGTGTACAGGCAGTTGATCTGAAACTAAGTTGCATCACGGCAGCGTGCAGTTGATCTTTACCTTGCATCTTTGTGTCGGATATTTTTAGTTTTTTCGAGACGTGAGATCAAACGTTTCAGAACGTGATTCCAGTGTTCGGTATTAACAATAACCTCATAAAACAAGGTCACTTTGTTTTCATGACACATTGGAAGCCCTCCAGACACGTTCACAGATCCTCCTGTTACAGTGTTACGTGCACACAACCATTTAGGTCGCAATAATGCAAAATGTTAGATGTCATTTTTATTGCCAAACAATAAAAGATTGATAATGTTTTTGCTCATGTCTGTGCATGTTGATGTAGTTTTTGACATCATTTAAAAGGTTTGACCAAAATGACTATAAGTCTGTTTCTTTTCATCCTAAGATGATCTTAGTTTAAAACTTAGGCATGAAAGGCATCTTTAGTTAAAACTTCTTTAGAATTTGATATTATATATGCAGAACATATGACTTAAATGTCAAATTTAATTCATATTTTTTCGTAGTAACTTTTTTAATAAGTTAAAATGTTATGAGTAAAAGTATACAGTCATTTTATTGGAGTGTAACATTGCTGATGAAGGTATGAGTATCCAAGGATTAAACTGTTCTAATAAAATAGTGCTGTTACCACTGTTGGGTCTGTGTGCAGCATCTGACACCTCATCGGAAAACAATGTCAGTTTTATTTATAGCAACTTCTGCAGACGGCGGGCTTCTTACACTGGAGGTTTGTTGATGTTGAGTTTAGTGGGTTTTGTCAAAAYTCTTCTATCTGTACTGAAATCCAGGAAATGCTGAACATGTACAGAAGTATGCTGACGCGCTGCTTTGGTTTCACCACAGGTGTTGGTCAGGTCTCAGATTCTGTCCTGTCAGCTGCTGAGCTATCTCAGAAAAGGACACGATATCTTCTGAAACGGCCCAAAGAAAGACACAGGCAGAGGCTGTCAGGATGGGACTGAGGAAAGAGGATTTTAGTACCTGCTTTATAGATTTGTAAATAATAAAAACAAACCCAGAAAAGTTTTAGCAGGACTGAAGTAAAGCTTGTATCACAAATATTCTAAAGATTCTCACAAATGAATGAACAGCTGAAAGAATATCAACCTCTAACAAAAAAAAATGTTTTGTTGCAATTAAATGGTCCAGAATTTAAATAGCATCTTTTTAACCCATTCAGCTTCTGCAAAGCTCTTTACACATTTTCTCCTTCATTACTGTCTTTTTCCTTTTTTCTCTTGGTTCTGACTTTGCGTGTTTCTGCAGACGAGTGGGGAGAAGGTGAGTCGGTTAAGTCTGGTGGACCTGGCTGGAAGTGAGCGAGCAGCAAAAACTGGAGCAGCTGGCGAGCGACTGAAGGAAGGAAGCAACATCAACAAGTACGCACAACTCTCAGCATTAGATTTCTTTCACAGTTAAACTTGTTTTCCAACAAAAAAAAGAGTCCTGACGTGGCTTCTTTTTGGTCCCATTGTATATATTTTTTTATTTTGTTCTGTTTGTTTAGGAGTGAATGCATTTGTTGACTTGCATGAATCAAGAAGGAAATGTTTCAAATGTCTCACTAAAATCAAGAGTTGCTTTCATTAAAGTTTAAATGACACAAACGTTGGAATATTAAGTGAAAGCTAGCTAAACTAAAGTGAAAAAAGTGACATTACGAAGCTCTAGTGTCTGTTTTTGTGTTTTTGCCAGGTCTCTCACAACACTTGGTCTGGTGATCTCTGCCCTGGCTGAACAGGGAACCACCAAGAACAAGACCAAGTTTGTTCCATACAGAGACTCTGTTCTGACGTGGCTGCTGAAGGTAAACAGTAAATAGAAACACCCACCACAGGCAGGGCACATTTTAGTTGTATATATTCCACTGGATGCACTCCCTTTTTATAAATGAAAGCCCCTTCTTCTCTTTATGCCTTCCTGTCTCCAGGACTGCCTGGGGGGCAACAGCCGCACAGCCATGGTTGCGACTGTGAGTCCAGCAGCAGACAACTATGAGGAGACCCTGTCGACGCTGCGCTATGCTGACCGAGCGAAAAACATCGTTAACCACGCCGTCGTCAACGAAGACCCCAACGCTCGCATCATCAGGGAGCTCAGGGAGGAGGTGGAGAAACTGCGAGTGCAGCTGACCCAGGCTGAGGTGAGATGGCTGCAACAAACTCAAAACATCTCGTTCCTAAAATATCAGCTGGTCTAACCTGCTGTCCGGTCTGCAGTCTCTGAAAGCTCCAGACCTGAAAGAACGCCTGGAAGAGTCTGAAAAGTTAATCCAAGAAATGACCGTCACATGGGAGGAGAAGCTTCGCAAAACAGAGGAGATTGCACAGGTGGGTCATCAGCAAGGTCAGCTCGTTGATGTAAGATCAGATCAGTGGATTATTGTGTGAATGTTGTGCTTTTTCTCTGTGTATGTTTTCAGGACCGTCAGAAGCAGCTGGAGAGTCTGGGGATTTCTCTTCAATCATCAGGGATCAAAGTTGGCGATGATAAAAGTTTTCTGGTGAACCTTAATGCTGATCCGGCCCTTAATGAACTGCTTGTGTACTACCTGAAGGTATCGCCACACACTTTTCTCAGTATTTTAGTTATATTCATAGTTCATATTAATCAGTCAGCTTTGTTAGAAACCATTTCCAGCCCGTCTGAATTATAAATATTTAATTTGGACAAAGCCCCCTTAGAGAAAATGTTTACAGCTTTGAGCAGTTGACATAAAAGAAACAGAAGATTAATGATTAACACTTGCTCAGTAAAGGTTGTTTATTAATTAACCATCAGCATTTGTAGAAAAAAATATTTGAGGTAAATTAGATTTATTCAGGCAAAATGTGGTTTTCTTTATAAAAACTATAAATATGTGATGAAAAAATAAACTTGGCTCTTGGATGTYGGCATCATAACACGTTGAATGTTGTGTTGTAGGAACACACGAAGGTGGGCTCGGTGGACTCCCAGGACATCCAGCTCTGTGGGATGGGCATCCAGGCGGAGCACTGTGTCATTGACATTACGGCCGAGGCTGCTGTCGTCCTCACCCCCTATCCCAACGCTCGGTAAGAAACGCCACCATAAAAAGAGCAGATTTCTTTAAAGCTCAGTGAGTTCCGTAGCACAACTACCAGGGTTAAAACATTTTTCCACACTAAAAATAAATTATTCAGTCGTGGTGATTATTTTGCTCCTGTTATTGATTTTAAAGTCAAGTCAAATCAACTTTATTTATATGGCACATTTAAAAGCAACCGCCGTTGGCCAAAGTGCTTCACATGTTACAACTAGGAGAAAAACAAAAAACAGATTACAAAGTTAAGAACAATAAAAAAAATATAAACATAGAACAAAACTTGAAAAGTGGAAAATAGCAAACTCTCATGCTGAATTAAAAGCTCTGGAAAACAGGTGTGTTTTAAGGTGAGAATTAAAAACACCAAGAGTTGAAAAAAGGCTACAGGGTATGAGTGTAAAAATAACTAGTTCTAATTTAAATTCTAAAGGTTTACAAGCTAGTTGTAATTTGGTGTGATGACATTTAGGAGCTTTGTTTCAACACACCAACTACAGGAAGTGTCAAACTGAATAAAGTGAAAATAAGATGAAAGAAGACTTTTGATTTTCATTCTGTGATTTAATTATTTAATTTATAAGTCTCAAGCATTTTCTAAAAAGCTCACAATTTTATGTTGTAACCATGTCATAAGTAATTTTGCTAAAGAGATTTCAACATTGTTTCTGTTTTTAGTTAAATAAAAACATCATAGTAATTTGAATGTGAAGAACTGATGCATTCATTCCAATGACTTGTTTTTGTTTTACATAGAAATTAATTTTCCATCTCATCATTAGCTAAAGTCACTGCTTTGTTTGTTGGTGTTCCAGGACATGTGTTAATGGTTCTCCAGTAACCAGTGCTCTGCAGCTTCATCATGGGGACCGAATCCTCTGGGGAAATAATCACTTCTTTAGGTAACCAACATTTTAAAATGTGTATACATATAGATGGAACTATGTTCTTTTGTGTGTGCGTGCGTGCGTGCGTGCGTGTGTGTGTGTGTGTGTGTGTGTGTATATATATATATATATATATATATATATACTGTGTATATATATATTTTTTTTCAAACATTATTAGATATAAATAGCCAGATTAAAAAAGATTGTCATATTGTGACACTTGTATTCATAGGTTGAAATACTTACGTTATTTCTATACATTTCTTAAATGTTTTTGTGTCGTTCACTGTTTTAAACTGCTGAAGGTTCATCAGTTGCTACAGTCTCTGACGTTTATTTATCCCACTTCCAGGATCAATCTGCCAAAACGGCGCTCACGGGGCGCAGAGGATGAGGACGGAGAAGCCGGTGTGATGAAGAACAGCAGTAGCAGTGAGCAGCTGGATGCAGACGGGGACACGGCCAGCGAAGTGTCCAGTGAAGTCAGCTTCTCCTATGAGTTTGCACAGACAGAGGTCATGATGAAGGCTCTGGGCAACAACGGTGAGATCATTCTGGAGGATATAGTGTGGATATTTTTCCAAGACTGAACGTCAGGTCGTTGATTTCGTGCCTTCTGACTCTTCTCTGCTGCGTTTGGTCAGACCCCATGCAGGCCGTCCTCCAGTCTCTGGAGAGGCAGCACGAAGAAGAGAAGCGCTCCGCCCTGGAGCGACAGAGGCAGATGTACGAGCAGGAGCTCATGCAGCTCCGCAAGAAGCTCAATCCAGACCGCCTGTCCACAGGCCAGCCTGGAGGACAGACACCTGGACAGCAAGGACCAGGACAGCAGTCTCACTACCGCAGCCTGGAGAGACTCAGCATGGGAGGGATGAGCCATTCAACCAGCACTCACAGACTGAGGCAGTGGAGTGAAGACAGGTGAGTGTTCCCGTGTTGATTAAACAAATGAAAGTTTAACATTTTCACCTTATTTTTTCCTGTTGTCCTGCAGGGAGGCAGTGTTGGTGAGAAGTCTTCGGAGGTTGAGGGAGCAAATAGTGAGAGCAAACCTCCTGGTGCAGGAGGCGTGTTATATCTCAGAGGAGCTGGAGCGTCACACGGAGTACAGAGTCACCCTGCAGATCCCGTCAGACAACCTCAACGCAAACCGCAAGGTCCCCCACACAAAAAAGAGCACCTTGTGCGACCGCGCCGGAGTCTGCTTTTTTGTTTTCAGCTCATAACTTTAATCCTTGTGTGTTTGTAGAGAGATGCAGTCCTCAGTGAACCTGCAATCCAGGTCCGAAGACGGTGTAGAGGGAAACAGATCTGGAGTTTGGAGAAGATGGAGAACCGCCTGGTGGATATGAGAGAGCTCTACCAGGAGTGGCAGGACTACCACCTCCACAATCAGGAAAACCCAGTGAGTCAGCCCAACAAGTTTTATCAGCGGCTTAAGGAATCGAAAAGTTCTTTTCACTCGAACTTGTTCTTCAAACTGTCCTCCCCTCCCTCTCCAGGGGATGCGGTCATATTTCCGTCGGGCAGACCCGTTCTTTGACGAGCAGGAGAACCACAGTCTGATTGGAGTGGCCAACGTCTTCCTTTCATGTCTGTTCTATGATGTCAAGCTGCAGTACGCTGTTCCCATCATCAATCAAAAAGGAGAGGTAGAATCCCAGCATTTATTTGTTCTCTTACTCTCACTTTATACTTCTTCCTCCAGAACAAAGATAAACATTTAAATAAACGTGAACTAATGTGAGCAGCACGTCTCTAGAGTTAGAAGTCATGTTAGAAGGTTCAAGTTGGGACAAATAAAATCTGAGCATCAGAATTACTTGTTAGGATCACAGCAGCTTTCCCCTCCTCTTCCTTGTAATCAGGTTGCCGGGCGCCTGCATGTGGAGGTGATGAGAGTAGGAGGGGGGCTGGAGGACAGCATGGCAGGAGGAGATGACCTCGACAACAACCAGGACTCTGAAGTTGAGGACCGCAAACTGGTCTGCATGGTAAACCACGTAGTTTCTCTGAAAACAACAAACTTATTGGGTTCGTTTTTATGTTCAGGAGCCCTGGTTGTGTTAATTCTTCACTTTTGGTTTGTGTTTCCTTTTGCAGATTAAGATCCTTCAGGCCACAGGTCTTCCTCAGCACCTGTCCAACTTTGTCTTCTGTCAGTACGTTTTCTGGGACCAGCCTGAGCCCATCATCGTGGCCCCTGAAGTTGATCATTCGTCTTCGTCTCCCAGCACCAAGGACCCTCACTGCATGGTTGTGTTTGACAGCTGCAAGGTGAAAACGCCTCATGTTCTGTGTGTAAACCGAACAGTATTTGTGTACAAATACTTGAATTAATAATACGAGACCTTGTTGGAACTTCAGGAGCTGGCGGTGTCCGTGTCGGAGGATTTTATCGAGTACCTTACAGAAGGAGCTGTTGCCATCGAGGTGTACGGACACAAACAGTCTGACGGAGGGAGGAACCCAGCTTTATGGGACCTCAGCATCATCCAGGCTAAAACACGCACGCTGCGAGACCGGTACACACACACACAAATACTCGTGCTTCATCGTGTTCGACTCTTGGTGCATCCACGTGAGAGTAGTGTTGTTGTTTTTTGCAGGTGGAGTGAAGTGACGCGCCGTCTGGAGTTATGGATTCAGATCCTGGAGATTAATGAGAATGGAGACTTTGTGCCGGTTGAAGTGGTTCCAGCTAAAGACGTGCGCACAGGTGGAGTCTTTCAGCTTCGCCAGGTCAGGATAATGAGCCTTCCTCATCACAACCATTCTGAGCAGCAGAGGGGAACAGATTTGTCATTTTAAACCTCTTTGTCCAGGGTCAGTCGCGGCGGATCCAGGTGGACGTGCGCTCAGTGCAGGACTCGGGCACCATGCCTCTGATAGCAGAGGTGGTGCTCGCGGTGTCCGTGGGCTGTGTGGAGACGAGACAAAGCCCCGCATACGACGAACAGGATGAGATGGACAGCTATCAGGTGGAGTAGAGTCGCTCCTTATTTTTCTTCAACTTTAGATGAACAGAATGGGCAGTGATTAACAGAAGAGGTTTGTTGGACAGGAGAAAGATCTGGAACGTTTGCGGCGACAGTGGTTAACGACTCTCACCAAGAGGCAGGAGTACCTCGACCAGCACCTGCAAAACCTGGTTAGCAAAGCAGGTAAAACAAAAATATTTACACCACCACTTAGGTTTTTAGTTTAATTTAATTGTTTATTCATTTAATTTAAAACAAAAATTTTTATACACATTAAAAACAAAAAAATATACACAACATATACACAACAAAAAAAATACATAAATCAAATTGAAATGAAAGGAGGCAGAAAGAAGAAAAAAATCTTATAAAATCTGCCCCTTTTTTTCTACAATTAATTTAAAGCAAAAATAATTAGGAAAAAAATAACAAAATAAAAACTTCAATTCATTCTCAAACAACAACTTAGATATACATTATAGAGTTTCATATTTCTTTAACAAACTTATTTTTATCTTTTTTTTAAACAAACACATTGAACCAACATTTTTATAATCACTTTTCAGAGTATTCCACAATCTTATTCCCTGAACCGAAGTACATCGGTCCTTCAAGTTTGTTCGAATTCTGGGTTTCACAAACATCTCAAGTCCTTTAAGATTATAAGAACTTCCTCTCTTAACAAAGTATAACTGGATGTTTAAAGGTAACGTATTTTATGAGCCTTATACATAAGCTGCAAAATATAATCAACCAACTCATAAAATTTTAATACACTTCTTCTGCCTTGAAACAGAGCCGTGTTTCAACGTTTRTCCACAGAACCAGAACAAATGAAAGTAGTTTTTCTTTTAGGAGGTACCAGTTTCCACAGCTTTGGTTTATGACTGATTGTTACTATTTGTTGTGACATTTTCAAACAAATGTGAAGTATAAAAATAATTAACCCTTTATTAAACTGCTTTTAAATGAAAACAAATTAATTTATTTCAATGTATTTAAAACTTTAGTGTAAAGAATTAAATATTTCTGAAGACTTTTAACTTGTTAGCTATGATTAGCAAGTCAATAACGGACTGATTTTTTTTTTTTTAAACATGGTATTAAAACGTTTTCTCTGTTCTGGGCAGAGTCAATACGCTGATGTCAGGCCAGTTATTTGGTTTTGTGAGATTTCTTTACGAAGTGAGTATTCTGTACAGAAAAGACGGAGGATGACATGGAGAGGGAGGCCCAGCTGCTGGAGTGGCGTCTGACTCTGACAGAGGAGAGAAATGCTGTGATGGTGCCCTCTGCTGGCAGCGGCATTCCTGGCGCTCCAGCCGAATGGTACGACTCAGATCATATCAGAAATGTATTTTCAGGTGCATCATTTGCACCGTTTGAAAGCACAGAGAGGCAACAGATGAAGTGACTTCTTAAGAACTGTTTTGTTCACAGGTCTCCTCTACCGGGCATGGAGACACACATTCCTGTTATTTTCCTCAACATCAAACGTGAGAGAGGTTTCACTTTGTGGTATGATGCACATGTTCTTATCTAGTCTGATTACTTTAAAGTATGTTTCATTGCTTCCCCAGCTGATGACCTCAGCTCTCAGGACCAGTTTGAGGTGCCTGAGGTGGGAGGCTTGGACGCCACTTTGGGTGAAGAATATGAGGACGACTTCTTCGACTTGCAGATCGTCAAACACTACGATGGAGAGGTACACAGCAGCCTGCTGGAGCTTCTCTTTAAACACAAACAGGGAGTATTTCCACTCAGAAGACTTGTAGTAATGACTCTTGTGAACCTACAGGTGAAAGCAGAGGCATCGTGGGACTCGACTGTCCACGAGAGCCCCTTCCTCAGTCGAGGGGGGTTCTGGCCTGAGCAGCGCGTCTACCTGACGGTTCGAGTGGTCGTTCAGCTCAGCCACCCTGCCGACATGCAGCTGGTGCTGAGGAAAAGAATCTGTGTCTACGTTAACTCGGGCCGCCAGGGCTTCGCGCACAACTTTCTCAGAAGGATGTCGACCCGCAGCACCATACCGGGCTCAGGCGTCACCTTCGAGGTCGTCTCCAACATCCCAGAGGTGAGGATGGAACAGGAGACACTGGCCATGAGTTCTCCGTAAAAAGATAAACACTGATGCTCATAATTCTTCTTTAAATCAGGACGCTCCGGGTTCGGAGGACAGAGAGATGCTGGCCCGGCTTGCTGCGAGCGCACACAACAGCCAGTCAGGCGAGGATGAGGCTGCCATAGAAAAGTACCTCCGTAGTGTCATGAATCTGGAGAACATCCTGACTCTGGACAGACTCAGACAGGTAGAAGAAGAAACTGCTAACACTATGAATGAGGCAGACATTAAACACACAAACACATTCTGTCATATTTTCTCCTGTTATGTTGTGGGTTTTAAAGCTTAAAACAATTTTTAAAATAGTTTAAAGTATTTTTACTGCATGAAAATTTCTCTATTTGTCTTAACAGGTATAATTTACAAATGAAAATGGTTCATTTTATATTTTTGCAGCCCCCCCTGCGTTTACATATTACATATAGTGTTCAGGTCAGTTTGACCCAGAACCGAATAGGTGTCTCAAGTTCAATCATAAACATCACTCCTCAAAAAAAATGTTTTTTTCTAAAAAAAAAATCAATTTAATGAATAATCATTGTTTTTGTGTGTATGTTTTTGTATTGGACATAAAAAAATGTAACATGCTTTTTTTTTTTTTTAGGAAAACGAGTGAATTGTCCTCATTGATCCTTTTATCTGAAATAAAAAATAACATAAATTCACAAATATTGATTGAAATTGTTAGTCATGGAGTTAATAATCAGATATAAAAATGTTTCGGGGGGATGTTTTTGGTTTCTGACACTATAGCATGATTAAACATGCCCCGGGTCAAATTGACCCTGGAACATTTTTGCTGTTCCTCAGAAACGAACATAACAGGAGGATCAAACGTGTTGTTTTATAATCTGATCAGTTGAACTGTGTGGGTTTCAGGAAGTGGCAGTGAAGGAGCAGCTGTCTGGCAGAGGGAGGAGTAACAGAAGGAGCCTGAGCTCTCCCTCTGTTCACAGGGTAAATTATATCATTTTTAAATAATCAATATTCTATTGAAATACAGTCTGGTTTGCCTAAGATCACTGTGTTTTTTGTTTCAGCTGTCAGGAAGTAGACAGGACCTGTCCACCACTTGCCTGTTGGACGATAAGGTGACCTCAGCTTTATTCTAGTATATATATTTATTCTTCTGCTTTTTGCAAAATGTTGTCAACCTGTTATACAATAACAACAATTTATATGTTTAACTTTGAGTTTATATTGTAAATCTGTCATTTTTAAAGGTGTACCTGCCTGTACATGTTGAAGCCCACCTGTTATACGTTCCAAACTAATCCTGATCTTCTGTCTGCCTCTCAGGGTCGATGGGAGAGTCAGCAGGATATCTTCATGCCCTCTCAGTTCCACCGCACCCTCCCACGCCCGGCTTCATCCCCCTCCACCTACTCCACCTCCCCCTCTTCATCCTCTATGTCCTTCTCCAGTCCCCCCCAACAGAACCAGGAACCAGAACAAGGTGAGCCTCCTTTGATGCCCCCCTTCTAACGTTCTTTATTCCCATCTTTCTTTCAGCCTGGGTTCACCCATTATCAGAGCTTTGCACCTTGTCTTATCTCCTCCTCTGGTGTTTCAAAGACATTTATTGCACTTTAGCTTTCATTTTTCACTTAGTTTCAGCTCTGCTCTCCGCTCTTCTCCACCTTATCTGCCCATTTTCTATTTATTTTTAAGTTATTTCATTTATTCTGCTTGGTGTAACTGTGATTATCGACATATTTTTTTCTTTTGGTGACTATTGTGAGTTTTTGGTGAAATAATTGTGAATATTCCTCTGTCAGCTGATTCACAGAGATTTCTTTTTCATTTCACTGTCAGATCTGTTGGATTCATTTTGTTTATAAATGAACAGAATGAATAATCCTGATCAACATCTGTTCTGATTTAGTGTTTTTAACATGGTGTAATTGTAAAATTGACCATCTCTGTGTTTAACTGGCAGCTTCCTCCAGGCTGTCACTATGTTGGGATTTTTATCATTTTCTGGACTCGCTTTCAACTTCCTGTCTTAATCTTTCACACCTCCTCTGCCTCCCGGCCTTTCTTTTGTTACCTCACTTCCTTCCTCGTTCTTGCCTCCACCTCTTTGCCTCGCCTTCCTCCTCCTCTTCCTCCCCCCCTCCACAGGTCGTTTAGGACTTGCTGCCTCTTATCTTTCAGTTAAGGCGCTGGTTCCACAGATGCCCAAACTGCTCAAGTCTCTGTTTCCTGCTCGAGACGACAAGAAGGAGCTTCGCCCTTCACAGCAAAGCCAGCAGGTCAGCACAGAAGGCCTGTTCAGACCATTAAACCTCTGCTGGGCTGCCTCTGAGTTACACACTTTGAGCTAATCTTCATCAGTGGAGTTTAAATGTCATCATCATCACCATGTGTTTAATAATGCTTGTCATATGTGTGTACATGAGCCCTTATTAACTTTTTGCTTGTCATTCAGCAGCATCTACCTCGTATCATGACATCATCAGCGGGGGACGATAACAAAGCCAAGCCTGAGACGGTAAGATAACGTCTCACCTGTCAGTCAACTTCTGATGGTTAAAGGGATCCATGATTAGTTGTAACATTAGACTTTAATTAATAAACATATATTGTAACTGTAAAATAAAGACTGTAAAAATACAGTAGGCTGTTTAGTTTTTATAATTTTAAACTAAAAGTTTAAAAATATATTACACGGACGGGGCCATTTTATTTACACGCAAAGCATTCTGGGTAAATGATGATGTGGATAGGTCCTCGGTGCGAGGCTATTAGCGAGCTATATCCACCCTGAAG